GAGAGAGAGAGAGAGAGAGAGAGAGAGAGAGAGAGAGAGAGAGAATATGAATATGAATGCGAATATTGAGGATGGAGGATCCAGGCAGGAGTCCACCGGGTTGGAGTGGGAGGGCAAGCAGGGGACCAGAGGGGGCGGGGAGAGGAGGCAGGTCCTGGCGGTTGGGTTTTCTGATAGCCTCTGCCGCGGTGCTCTTGGCCATTAATCCAGGATTGACAAGAATCCCTAATTAATTTAATTAAGCGTGGATTTTGCGTTGGTGTCACGACTTAGTAAAACACTGGGGATCTGGATAGACTTCTCGGAGGCGGGGCCAAGAGAAAACGGACAAGTGCACTGCAATCCGAGTCGGTGGGTATCTTCAGAGAGTATCCAACCTTACAGCCTCTCTCCGGGGTGGGCACCCCAACTGCTCGACCCTACACTGATGACCCCTGGTCTCCGGCCCGGCATCGGGCGCTCCGCTCTCCGATTAAAAGGCCCAGCAATCACTCCAGCATTCCGGTTCCACACCCCTTCTTCCTTGAGGCCGCTGCAGCTGCACAACTGGGCATCCTGGCTTCACGTGCCTGCTGTGAGCAGGGCTTCGCTACAGCTCCTTGGACTCCTATACCTTCTTTTTAGGATCTTTCTGACCGGCAGCCAGCCTACCGAGTGCCGGTCCCTGTAATTCACCCTATTACTCGCTCCTCGGAGTCAAAGCTGACTCCCATGAAGACATTTCCCGCTACAAGGGGTTGGTCTATTTAACTTGTTTCCTGAACAGTTGCTCCCCTGCCAGATCCGCTTTTAAGGTGTTTTCTTAGAGCCGGGTCAGGCGCAGTTTCATTTCGTTTCCTCTCTGAGGTCTCAAGATTCTTATTCTTTTTCTTTACAACTCCCTGCACCATGTCCTTAATTGTTTAGCACCCTGGGAAGCATTTCCTAATTTGAAAAACAAAGGATTATCACTTTTTCAGTTCTGCGGAAAAAATTACCGACGTTAATTGTCGCTCGGCTAATTTTTATTTACCGTGGACCGTGGAAAAAGACTTACTCTTCTGAGGGGGGGGGGAAACAGCTCTCTTTCTCTCTGATTCATAACTTAAAAATTATATTTTTGACTCATTTTATGGAAATTATTTGTTATATAGGGGGAACACGCCTGTGTCCTGCAGACAGGGCTTTCTGTGAGATTTTTAGCTATGCAAATACTTGTTTATGCGTACAAAGGACTATTTACATATGAAAAGTTATATTTACTTGAATGTGTAAACAAATATACCTCTTTAAGTGCGGGTTTGGGGGGGCACTTAAGCCCTAAAATATTAATGAGGTTTTTCGGATGTTAAAAGATAACGTTTTCATTATCTTGGATCTAGTACTCCGTAAAAATGAAAGCAGTTCAGACCATTAATATGTATGTCTTCTGCTTACTGGTTAGAACAGCAAACTTAGCAAATAATTCGAGAAGTCCCATCCAAACAACCTGAAACATTTGTAAAGAGGGCACATAAACGGTTTCTCAAGTAAGTGTGGATTGAAGACTTTATATAACTTCCTGTAATACTAAATACGCCGCAGACCACACTGCACATTTAAGGGAGATAAAAATAAAGCTGATTAGAAATGCTGCTGTACTTTGTCTCTGGCGTTATCTTTCCTTCTGAAGACATTTCCTTTTCTGCTTTTAGGACAAACGCTTCCCTTTATACTATCAACAGCACTAACACCGATGAAGTCCACGAGCACTTGGTTTTATTATTCCACAAAACTCAAAAACTACACTTTCTAAGTTATAGGAATTTAGGAACAATGCCACAGTGAACGTTGGTCTACTATCTGTAACACTGTAATTCTAATAAGAGAGTAGAATAATCACACAATTTCAGTCTTTTGTGAAACTGTTTTTAAAAAGCTTATATAGCAGGATGATCAGTAACGGGATCTGCTAATTTAGTATGCTGTTCCAGTAGCCCTCAAGCTGAATCATGAAATGTATATTCACAAACACCTCCCAAATAACTGCTGCTAAAAGCTTGATAAGGCATTAGGTGACCCTCTAGATACTTCTTTATCCCTTTAAACACATGACTTCAACCCAAACTCTTATGCCATCTTCTGAGCTGGAAGAAAAGAGGACCACTTTAAAGGTAACCAGAGAAGGCTCAGACAAAACTGTTGTGTAATTTGATCCAACAGATTTCTTCTTTATTTCATCTTCTGGACTCATTTTAACTATAGGGATGGTAGATGAAGCAATGATAAATCTCCAGAGTCTGGCTATGGAGCCCTATTTGCATAAAAGACATTTAATTTAAAATTTTATTAGTGTGTAATTGTACAGATAGGTTTCATTCTTGAATTTTCCATATATGATACAATAAACCTCTTCTATTAGCCTCTTATACCCTCCTGCCCCCTTCCCTTCCACATCCCTAATAGTTCCTCTGTTAGGAAGTTTCAGTTTTAAGAAGTCCAAAGTTTTGAAATCATATTAATAAGCACTATTAATTTTGTTTCACTAAAGAGCAAATATTTTCCCGAGATAAGACATTTCAAAAACCAGTTTTGAAAAGAAAAAAATATGGAGGTTAAAACTCAGCTGACAGCATATGCACCGATATAAACAAAAGAAAACAACAAAAAAATCTGGACCCCAAGAGTTCTCCCAGCTCTTGAATTATTTATATATATATATATAAAAAGCATGTAGTGTTGCAGTTACATTTTAAAATGGTCCCTCAAAACTGGTTAGTTAAGGTACAGCTATTTTCCAGGAATAGATCTATATTGGAGGTGATTTGCATCTCAAATGTCTGTGGAAATCTGTACCTTGGTATCTAGTTAAAGGTCGGCAGGAACTCAGGCTGATATTTTATGTATTTCCTTAGCTTTGCTTCCTTATACTAAATAGTGAAAAACAATTTTCACACAAGGAAAATATGCTATGGACTACAGGAAATGTTTCATGACTTTAATTTCGGTCACTGAAGCTTTTGATAAATGTACATAGTTGATTTCTGTTCTAGAAGAAACTTCTCGCATCGGGCAGATTTCTTCCCTCTATCCAACGGTTACTTTAATATTAGAACTAATTTGCGTCCATCCGTGAATGCCTTCACCTTCACGGTAGACCCCCCCTTCCCCACCGACTTTTAATGTATTTTTGCAAATAAATCATTACAATTTAATCATGCACGACTCTATGCAGACACATTCCATGATTTATTATTGTTGGGCGAATTTCGACGTCGCTTAACAGGAACTAACCAATTTTGCTCCGCGCGAATGTCTTAAACATAACTTCCCACGATGTAGATGTTTACTGATTATCTGTGACGATAGCGACGATTACTAAGGCAGTAACATCCCATAGTCCCCACCTTTATTGCTTTTTGGGAACAAGAAAATCCAATTATGCAAACACGCGAAACAAACATTAAACAAAAAATTGGCGGCATGACAATCCACTCGCTCGGCATTCCTGGTGGCCTAGCGGCCTGCATCGACGCACTCGGCAGCTCGGCTGACGCTGCCTGGCGCTGGAACCAGGAAGGCGCTGAGCTTAAACTGAAGCAAGTTCTGAGGACGCCGGTGGCGCCGCGGTTAGAAGAGGGGGTTCCAGGTCCCCGCGCCCGGAGGTGCGAGCCCGAAGGTCGACCCAGGTGATGCCGGCGTCCAGAGCTTGGGGGCGGCGCCCGCGAAGGAGGCGCCCGGAGGCCCCGCTCGGCGTGAGGCG